CAAAAACCCAGCCAGGAATTGCTGCAATGCTGGGAATTGTGGGAATTTCCAGGCCCTGGGGTGTGGCCCTCACCTCTTGGACATGTCCCACACTCGGATGCTCTTGTCCTCGGAGTTGCTGAGGATCAGCTCCTGGCGGGGGTGGAACACGGCGCAGGAAACGTTGTTGTAGTGGCCACGGCACGTGTCCACCTCCCAGGCCTTGGATTCTGGGGGAAAAACGGGGGAAAAATGGGAAAAATGTTCGTGGGATGGGGAAATTGAGCAAAGGAATGGAAAGAGGGGGGAAAAAACCCCAGGGAAATGGGGAAAAAAACACCCGAGAAAGGGAAAAAAACAGCAGGAAAAGAGAGAAATCAGCCTGGGACAAATGCACCTCCCAGGCCTTGGATTCTGGGGGAAAAACGGGGGAAAAATGGGAAAAATGTTCGTGGGATGGGGAAATAGAGAAGAGGAATGAAAAGAGGGGGGGAAAAAACCCCAGGGAAATGAGAAAAAAAAATTGAAAAAAGGAAAAAAACACCGGAGAAAGAGAGAAATCAGGCTGGGACAAATCCACCTTCCAGGCCTTGGATTCTGGGAGAAAAACTGGGAAAAATGTGGAAAAATGTTCATGGGATGGGGAAATAGAGAAGAGGAATGAAAAGAGGGGGGGGAAAAACCCCAGGGAAATGAGAAAAAAAAATGAAAAAAGGAAAAAAACACCGGAGAAAGGGAAAAAAACACCAGAGAAAGAGAGAAATCAGGCTGGGACAAACCCACCTCCCAGGCCTTGGATTCTGGGGGAAAAACTGGGAAAAATGTGGAAAAATGTTCATGGGATGGGGAAATAGAGCAAAGGAATGAAAAGAGGGGGGGGAAAACCCCAGGGAAATGAGAAAATAAAAATGAAAAAAGGAAAAAAACACCGGAGAAAGAGAGAAATCAGCCTGGGACAAATGCACCTCCCAGGCCTTGGATTCTGGGGGAAAAACTGGGAAAAAATGTGGAAAAATGTTCATGGGATGGGGAATTACAGGAAAGGAATGAAAAGAGTGGGAGGAAAAATCCCCAGGGAAATGGGAGGAATGGGGATAAAAACCCCTGGAAAATAGAAAAAAATGGGGGAAAAAAAAACCTCCCAAAACTGGGTAAAAAAAAATCAGGAAAAGGGCAGGAATGGGGGATGATTCCCCTTCACCCATCCCGAGGGATTTTTTCCATTTTTTTTCAGTTTTTTTCCCATTTTTCTCTCACCATTCATCCTCCAGATCTTCACCTGGCGATCGTCGGCGCCGGACACGATGAGAGGCATGGAGGGGTGGAAGGCAGCCCAGTTCACCCCCCTGTCATGGCCCTGGAAAAACGGGAAAATCCAGGGAAAATCCAGGGAATTTTCATTGGGAATGGGGGTGGAAGGCAGCCCAGTTCACCCCCCTGTCATGGCCCTGGAAAAACGGGAAAATCCAGGGAAAATCCAGGGAAAATCCAGGGAATTTTCATTGGGAATGGGGGTGGAAGGCAGCCCAATTTTTGGAAATTTCCCCAGGGGGTTTTTGGGAATTTCCCCCAGGGATTTTTGGGGATCTCCCCTGAGGATTTCTGGGGATCTTCCCGGGTTTTTTGGGAATTTCCCCCGGGGAATTTTTGGGCATTTCCCTGGGGATTTTTGGGAATTCCTCTGGGGGATTTTTGGGAATCTCCCAGGGGATTTTTGGGAATTTCCCCAGGGGATTTCTGTGCCTTTCCCAGATGATTTCTGTGAATTCCCCAGGTGATTTCTGTGCCTTTCCCAGGGGATTCCTGTGCCTTTCCCAGGGGATTTCTGTGCCTTTCCCAGGGGATTCCTGTGCCTTCCCCAGGGGATTTCTGTGCCTTTCCCAGGGGATTTCTGTGCATTCCCCAGGGGATTTCTGTGCATTCCCCAGGGGATTTCTGTGCCTTCCCCAGGTGATTTCTGTGAATTCCCCAGGGGATTCCTGTGCCTTTCCCAGGGGATTTCT